ACATTTAGCAGTTAATTCGTGGACTGTTTTGATCGTCATAGTTGAAAAGGGTGTTGCTGCATCTAGTTTGTAGAGGCCATGGATGCAGCTCAGCATTGGACAACACAACTGGCAGTGCCCCAGAAGAACAACTGTCACCTAGGGCACAGTGCTCAGTGTGCTGGGGCAGAAAAGCCCTCCTCTGTATGTAGTGTTTCTTGCCTTCAATCCTTACTCCTTCACTTTTATTTTGCAATCTGGAGCACGTGTGTGTGTTCATTCTGTTTGCTGTTCTCTGAGATTCTTGGATCTGTGGTTTGGTGTGTGATTTTTAATTTCAGGAAATTCTAAGCCATTATCTCTACACACACTCCCTCTAGCCTGACTTCATCCTTTTTACCTTCTGAAGTTAAATGTAAGATTCAAATATATTTATTTAAAATACATTTATTTTGAATAATATGGCTGAAATATCTTCCCGTGTTTTCATCACTCTTTTTTTTTCTGTTTGTATGTCATTTTGAGTATTTCCTATTGATCTGTCTTTATGTTCACTAATTCTTTACTTGACTATGTTGAGGCCAAGGCCATGCCCAAGAACACATGCTTTTCTATTTTCATTATTATTACTAACAAGTTTACTTATTCAGGATTAGTTTCCATGAATTTGTTAAAATTCCCCATTTATTAATGCATGTTGTCACCTTTTCCAATAGTACCCATGGGATTATAGTTATTAGCAACCTGTCTGATATTTCTAACATCTAAGCGATTATATGAATCGGAGTCTACTAATGTCTTTGTTTTGTTACAGTCAGTCATTTTCTCTTGCATATTTGCGTGACATCTATGTTTTTAATGTATAATGTTGGAGGACCATTAGAGATTGAGGTAATACAGTTTGCCTGAAAATGATCCACCCTTTGGCTTGACCTTAACTACAGGGAGGGAAGCTGGGCTTCAGTTTTCACTATAGTATGATTGCCTCAGTGTGCCACAGACTTCAAATTCGTCTATTGTTATCTATTTACAGCGGGGCTTGTTTGTCACACATTCTCAATATCTATCCGTCCTAAACTTCAGGTCTTCCTTTGCATACGTGCCAGAACAAAAAGGCTTCCACACATCAAAGAAAACAACCAGCAGAGCGAAGAGACAATCTAAGGAGTGGGAGAAAATAATTGCAAGCTACACAGTTCACAAGGGGTTAATATCCATAGCATGGAGAGGAAAAAAATAAAATAAAAATAACATTACCCAATTAAAAAATAGGCAAGGACCAAGACAGAAATTTCTCCAAAGAAGATAAACAAATGATCATCAGGCGTATGAAAAAGTTCCCAGCATCACTGATCATCACAGAAGTGCAAATCCAATCCACAGTGAGATATCACCTCTAACCTGTTAGAATGGCTTTTATCAAACAGACCAAAGATATCAAGTGTGGGAAAGAACATGGAGAAAAAGGAATTCTAAGACACTGTTGGTTGGAATTATAAGTTTATATTGTCTTTGCAGAAAAGACGACGGAGTTTCTCAAAACACTAACAATAGAACTAGCATAAAAGCCAGCAAAATCAGTTCTGGGTGTCCATTGGATTTGAAATCTGTATTTCAAAGAGATATCTGTACTCCTGTGTTCATTGTAGCATGATTCACAATACCTGAGATGTGAAAATGACACAAGTCCATTGATGGGTGAATGGAAAAAGAAAATGTGATATAACATGATTCAGCCTTTACAAAGAAGAAAATCCTGTCATTTCCAAAATCGTGGATGAACGTGGAGGAAATTACATTCAGTAAAATAAACCAAATGTAGGCAGACAAATTCTGTATGATCTCATTTATGTATGGAATCTAAATAAATCAAACTCATGCAGAGAGTAGAATGGTGGTTGCTAGAGGCTGGGGAGTGGACAGAATGGGCAGATGTTGGTCAAAGGGTACAAAGTTCCAGGTATGCAGGATAAGTAAGATCTAGGGATCTAACGTACAGCATAGTGACTATATTTAATACTGCTGTATTGCATATTAGAAATTTGCTAAGAGAGTATATCTTAAATGTTCTCACACACAAACAACAAACTAACAGCATTAGGTGATGGATATGTTTATTACTTTGATTTTGGTAATCATTTCACAATGTTTGTATTTCACATATATCAAATCATTATGTTGTACACCTTGAATATATAAAATTTTTGTCAATTATACTTCAATAAAGCTGGAAAAATGTTCTGTGACCTCACTATTACCAAAAATAACTGTACAATTTTTTCCATTCTTTTTTATATGAGCAAATTAATTAGGCAAAAAATCTGAATTATTCTAGTATAAAAATATTAATTCATGGATAATTTTACTAATTGAGAAAAGGAAAAATAAAAAACATACTAATGGATACTATTTCAAGACGCACTTCTAGAAGATTATAGTTCATTTTTGAACATGTTACAAAAATCTGTTATATATTTAAGTTACTGAATTAACTTACAGTAATGAGAGTTGTCTAAACAATTCAGTACAGATAAAACATTTTAGAGGTTTACTAATATAGAACATGAAAGGCCACATCACATACATTTTTACACAAAAGTCATATTTTATGACTTATATGATTAATAAAGATACAGTTCTGGAGGGTAAGTGGAATTAGTGTGATTTCAGGAACAAAAGAGATATAAAAAATAATAGTAAATATATCAAAATAATCTAAAATTGAATGATCCATGTATTTCAAATTAACCATGATGAGCATAAGATAGCTATCTAATGCACTAAAAATGATGTTTTTATTTTGAATTTTAAACTTCTGAAGTTAGTTGAAGAATTTTAAAATGAATTCATATGAGAAACACATGAATTTTAAAAATTGAATAGCATTAATGTAATTCATGTTCTACATAGTAGCTATAAAAATTACCAAAGAAAATCTGAAGTCTAAAATTACAGAATGGAAAAATATTGAATGCTACAATAGAAAGTATAGTGCTGTGTGGTTGAAGTCTCAATGTATTGCCATCATTTTTGTCTCTCATTAATTTTGAAACATTGGTCAGAGCACTTAAACAGTATGTATATCCATTTCTAAATAAAAATTAAAATTTCTATCCTTAATTTCATACAAATGTAATCATCCTTTAGCAAGATGGGTGAAAAACCTAAAGGCTTACTTATTGAAATGGATTATTTATCAATAATTTCAATCAAGAGCAATATAAAATCTCTGCTACTTCTGCAAAATTATTCCATATAAGATCACAGTAAGTGACAATGTACAAAGGAAGATAGTTCGCTTGTAAATATATATATAATATTGTTGGCTATCATTACATATCTAAATTCTTGGTAAAAGTTCATTTCAATTCATCATTTTAAGCTTAAAATCCCATACACATTGCAAATTATCTCACGAACAAACTAAGGTTGTCACCCAGTTGTCATTCTGCCTTCACAAAAACAGCTAGAATTCCTTCTCTTGATAGGTCTCTGAACTAACTTGGAGTTTTATCCAAAGAGTACACTACAAAACAAAGATATGTAAGTAATTCATGTAGAAGTGATGACAGAAGATAACTATATTACAAAATTTTGAAAAATGAGAAACCTGTGTCTGTCTCTCTTAAACATAAGAAAAGTAATATTACTATTAGAAAGAAATTAATCCTCACCACATACACAATATTCTAAGTTTCAGTAATTCTTGTTTAGATTATAAATAAAACTGACAAATTAAAGCAATAATCACCTCACTAATGGTGGCAGGCCTGAAAAGAAGCAATTGGCTAAGAAAGGGATCAGAGCAAGAAAGAGAACAGTGAGAAGTCAGACAACTGAGTGATTGTGTTGAGCCCCAACAAGATAATTGGAAAGCAGAGCGTGTGAGTATCAAGGTACATGCTACACCACATGCATTAGATACAACTATTAGCATGGCACAGAGCTCCTGGCACACAGAATCTGTGTAGAACAGAGGGTTACAAATGGCTGCAAAGCTACAGAAGACAGCATGACAAAATGAATGAATTCAGTAACTATAAAGGTGCAAAAAACAGAGCTGTACCATAAGCCCTGAAAATGAAATGTGTCTGCCTTGCACAGGTAGATTACCTCGCTAGTCATAAGTGCCAGTATTTTATCCACAATGGAGAGTTAGTGTGAAGACGAAAGTAAAAAAAAAAAAAAACTGAGATGTGATTTAAGTCAATAATGACGCTACTCATAATAATGGATATTCACTGATTTCAAGTATATGTGTATGGATGCACATATACATGACATATACTTATGACATCACAGATAATGTATATATAAGTACACTATAAGAAAGAGTAGAAAGTGAGAAAGAATCAGGGATTCTATATTTGCCAGAGATTATTTTAGCCCTTTGTATATGATATGTAATTTAATTTTCCTAACTTTTATGTGACATAATTACTATGATTATTATACCCATTTTTCAGATGAGATAGGATCTGAGCTTCCAAAATCACTGGAAGCTGCAACAATGAAATAATAAAGGAACCAAGAAATCATCAAAAAGATAAAAAACAACAGCAAAATGATAAACAGAATATATACATACAAATGTAGAAAACTTGCACTGTATGTGTAAATAATTTGACAAAGATGTGCTCTTCATTATTAAATTATAGGAATTCAATTTTCAAAAGATTCAGTTTCCATTCTAGGTGCTGAAAGTATGATTCTCAAGAAGTCTTCATTAAAGTATGAATGTTTTAGCAGCAAACTAAATGTGTGTATCTTAGGAGTCCAAAATCACATCCACTTAGACATTACGGATTGAAGAAAAGCTGAGAAGGCTTGACATTTTGAGAAATGCTCAGCCTTATTGCATCCTTGTTAATTGAAAAGGCACAAATGTAAATGAGTCAAAAGGAATCACCCATAATTGCCTACCCACTGGCTGTTCTCTCCATTCCAACAGTCCAGCCTACCAATTGACCTCTACAGGAGACTTCTCTTTGGGACTCCGAGTCCTGCTAAGAGAATATTTTCTAGGAAAACAATTTGGAGTTCACCAGTTCTTTAAGGGATCCTTTCACATCCTTGTTCCTCAGGCTGTATATCAGGGGGTTCAGCATGGGAATCACAACAGTGTAGAATACAGTAGTGACTTTGTCAGTATCCATACTGTTGCCAGAACTGGGGTGGCAATACATAAAAAGAATTGTACCATGGAAGACAGCAATGGCTGTGAAGTGGGAGGCACAGGTGGAGAAGGCTTTGCGCCTTCCCTGGGCAGAGCGCATCCTCAGGATGGTGACGAGAATAAACAAGTAGGAGGTGAAGATAATCACAATGGTAATGACCTCAGTGCAAGTGACCACAATGTATATCACCAGCTCATTCATAGTGACATCAGAGCAAGCAAGAGACAAGAGAGGGGGTAGATCACAAAAGAAGTGGTTAATCACATTTGATCGATAGGAGGAGATTGGAAGAGCTAAGCACAAGTGAATCAGAGAACACACAGTCCCACACAGGTAACAACCAAACACCAGCCCCACACAGAGNGTGAATCAGGGAACACACTGTCCCACACAGGTAACAACCAAACACCAGCCCTATACAGAGATATTGAGACATGGTGACCACATACAGCAGTGGGTTACAGATGGCCTCAAAACGGTCATAGGCCATCACAGCCAGCAGGAAGACCTCAGTTACCACACATGTGCAAAACAAGTAGAATTGCATAGTACATCCCAACACAGAAATGGTTTTGTCTTCATTTAACACACTAGTGAGCATCTTTGGTAGGATGACTGTAGAGTAACAGAAGTCCACAAAGGACAAGTGGCTGAGGAAAAAGTACATGGGGGTGTGAAGTCGAGAGCTGACCTGAATCAGTGCAATCATGCCCAGGTTGCCCAAAACTGTGACTCCGTAGATGAGAAGAAACACCAGGAACAGGAGGACGCTCAGCTCAGGGGCGTCTGCTAATCCGAGGAGAATGAATTCTGTCACACTGGTGCAGTTTCCCTGGCCCATAACCCCACTTTATTAGTAGTTATTTGCCATTATGTGATCCAAAATTCATTTTTGACTGTCTCCTAGAAAAGTTTTGTAAAGAAGCAGGATAGTTAGATTTTTCAGTGAAGAAACAAGACATTACTTTGTGAAATTTAGGAAGAGTTCAGACATTGTACATCCAGATGCATAGAGCTCTCGTTGCATCGTTAAATCACACTAAAGCGTTCAATATGTAGAAGCAAGTGTATATAATTTAAACTAGATCTATATAATTGAGAGCTTGGAATTGAATCATTAGCTTGACATCAAATATTATTTAATTAACTATATGGTTTTATGAAATCATATCTGTTTTTCCAGGTAGATTCTTTAATCAGTACTGGATATATTGGGATAACATAAAATTAATTTTTAAATACATACTACCATTCTCTGTTTCCACTGGAAGGGTGAGCAGTATGCCCATTTAAGACTGTAACAAAAACAAAAACTAACAGCAAAAACTTACCAGTTGGCTTCACAGCTGAATTCTATGAAACATTTAAAGATGAGCCAGTACCCATCCTTCTTATACTATTTGAAAATGTAAAAGCATAGGAAATACTTCCAAAACTCACTGTATTAGGAAAATATTACTCATATCAAAACCAGACAAGGACAATTTGGGAAAAGGAAAATTATAGACCAATATCCATGATGAATGTAGATGCAACTATTCTTAACAAAATAGCAGCAAACCTAATTTAAAAATAGGTCAAAAGGATCATCAATCACAACCAAGTGGGATTTATTCCAGGGATACAAGGAATGTACAATATTAGTAAATCAATCAATGTGATATACCACATAAACAAAGAAAGGCTGAAAATCATAATCATGTCAATACATGTGAAAAAGCATTAGACCAAATTCAACATCCATTCATGATTAAAACTCCCAAATAAATGAGTACCAAAGGAACGTACCTCAACATGATGAAGGCCACAGATGACAAACCCACACCTAACCTCACACTCAAGAGGAAAAGCTGAAAACTCTTCTTCTAAGTTCAGGAACAAAACATGGATGTCCAGTCTCACCACTTTTATTCAATATACCACCGATAATGCAAGCCATGGAAATCAGACAAGAAAAAAGACATCCAGATTGGTAAGGAAGAAGTAAAAATGTCACTATTTTCAGATTATATGTTTTTATCTATAGGAAACCTTAAAGACTCCAACAGAAAACAATAACTAATAAATGGATTAGGCTAAGTGACAGGATACAAAATTAATAAACAGGAATTGACTGATTATCTTCTATGTTCTAACAACACCCCAGAAGAAAGAGAAATCAGGAAAACAATTCCATTTACACTGGCATCCAAAAGAACAACATACCTAGAAATAAACCTAACCAAGGATGTGAAAGACCTATACTCTGAAAACTATAATTCACTCATTAAAGAAGACACTAATAAATGGAAATCTATCCCATGTTCATGCACAGGAAGAATTAATTTTGCCAAAATGGCCATATTGTCCAAAACAATTGGCAGATTCAGTGCAATCCCTATCAAAATACCAACAGCATTTTTCACTGAACGACAGCTGAACTAGACTACACAAGAACACAAACACTCAAAACAATCCTGAAGAACAAAGCTTCAGTATTATGCACCTGCCTTCCAGCTATACTACTAAGCTACAATAATCTGCACAGTATGGTAATGGCACAAGAACAGACCGATAGATAATGGAACTGAATAAAGAGCCCAGATATAAACCTATGTATGTATGATCAGTTAACACAAGACTAAGGAGCCATAAATACACAGTGGAGAAAATACAGTATCTTCAATAACTGGTGTTGGGAAAACTGGACAGCTACAGTCAAGAGAATGAAACTGGATTATCATCTAACTCAACACACAAACTAAACTCAAAAGTGATTAAAGAACTAAACAGAAGTGAGACCATTAATTTCTCAGAAGAAAACATAGTCAAAAATATTTGAATATAAGCATGAGCAATTTTTTCCTGGACACATCTCCTCAGGTAATGGGAACAAAATGAATAATGACAAGTGGAACTGCATCAAACTAAGAAGCTTCTGTACAGAAAGGACACCATCAGAAGAAAAAAGCCAAGTTACACTCTGGGCAAATACATTCATAAAAGATTTATCCAATACAGGAGTAATACCCAAAATATATAAAGAACTCATGCAACTCAACACCAACATAACAAACAAACCAATTAGAAAATGGGCAGAAGACCTGAACAGACTTTTTCCAACGAAGAAATAGAGATCTCCAACAGGCACATGAAAGGATGCTTGCCATCACTAATCATCAGGGAAATGGAAATCAAAACCACTTCACACCAGTTAAAATTGTCACTATGCAAAAAAAAGAAATAACAAGTGTTGCTGAAGATCAGGAAAAATATAAGCCTCCTATACTGTTGGTGGAAATGCAAATTGGTTCAGCCACTGTGGAAAGCAACAAAGAGGTTCCTCAAAAACTAAAAATAAACATACCATACAACCCAGTAACTGCACTTTGGGAATTTACCCAAAGAAAAATTCTGATTGGAAAATATATACACACATTTATTCACACACATGAGTGCACACAGAGAGTAAATTTCCTAAATCCATTTAATCCTGTTGAAACCATTGACTAAAACTTGAATGCACATTATATGTCCTAATGCAACAGTTTTCTGGTGAATCACAAAGATTTTGGGGCAGGCCCAAGTTCCTTTCAACCCACCAGTCTGGGATTAGTAAAAAGAAGTGATTATTTGTTCTGGTTCCTTAGTTCTTTGCTATTGAGAGTACTGTACCTTCATTATCAGTTAGCAGCTGGTGCCTTAAATTTAAAAACTATGTTTATGAACCTTTTCTTTTAAATAGAAAGTGGAGACAGTCATCCTATTAAATGAGTTGCTGATATTTTTTCTGCACAAATGTCTTATCTTGAAACACTGTTACACCTCCTTATAAATATGTACTTCATGAAAATAGTGTGCACATGAAAAATAGATGTATGAAACCCTGTTATACCACATTATTTACAGTAGTCAAGATATGGAAGAAACCAAAACATCCATCAGTAGATGAATGGATAAAGAATATGTGGTACATATAAACAATAGACTATTATTCAGCCATTAAAAAGTCATTTGAAACAACATAGACGGACCTAGAGGGTATTATCCTCCATGAATAAGCTTAGCAGAAATATACAAGTACCATATGATTTCACTTATATGTAGAACCTAAAAACAATACAAACAAAATGAACAAAAGAGCATACGACTCACAGACACTGAGAAGTGACTGGCGGTTACTACGGGGGAGGGGTTGGGGTGGCTAGGTGCGGAGTGTAAGAGGCATAAAAGGGACCAAAAATATCAATCATAGTATAAGATGCTCCTGGGGATGGAAGTGCAGCATGGAGAAAATAGCCAGTGATTCTGTAACATCTTACTATGTTGACAGATAGCAAGTGCACTAGTTGGGGTGAGGATACAATAATGTGGGCAACTGTTGAACCACTGTGTGGTGTACTTGAAATCAGTGTAATATTGTATGTCAACTATACTTAAATATAAATAAATAAAAATTCATCACCCAAAATAAGACAGTGTTAACTCAAAACTGTTCATTTTTAGCAATATGTTTCAGAAGAATAAAGCAGCTTTTATACACTATTAGATTTTTCTATAAAATTACCATAATGATTTTGTTAATCATGATTCAATATTGACCATTGTTTAGAGAATTGGTACACAGGTTCACACTTCCTGTAACTATGATCTGAAGCCTTATAATAACCTGTTTTCAAGTGAATTTACTGCCTCAAAATATTTGAAGAGCCAATTAAAGATGTGCATGTGAAATTATCACTAAAAATGCCAGCAGCCCATTGAAGCATTATTTATGATACTAAAACATACAAAATAAAGTGTCTAACAAGACAGATATGGTCTAAACTATGGTACATATATGTTATGGAAAACTATGCACTATTAAAATATTTTTGAAAAACCTTTAATGATCTCAAAATGCCTATGATAAAAGAGTAAGTCAAAAAATAGTAAGCCAGATGGCACACGTATATATTACAGTTGACACTGTAACAAATCCATGTTTGAACTGTGTGGGTCCACTTACAGGAGGATTTTTTTTAATCAATATGGTGCATAACTGCAAATGTATTTTCTCTCCCTTATGACTTGTTTATCGTTTCCTTTTTCTAGCTTAATTTTTTTAAGAAGACAGTATAAAATGAATTTAATATACAATGTATGTGTTGATAGACTGCTTTTCTTATAGATAAGGCTTTTGCACAACAGGAGGCTAATAGATAAATTTGGGAGGAGTCAGAGTTTGTAAGCAGGTTTTCACTTGCACAGGGATGGTGCCCCCAACTCCAGATTTCTTCAAGAACACACTATATATATGTGTGTGCAAAATTTAAATTGTATATTTAACCTCACAACATCCATGAAATAGAAATATTTAATTCCCGTTAGTTAAAAAAAAATCAATATAGGCATTTACTTTAATTCTCACAAAACACAAGTGTTCTGGAGCAAGTGGAGAAGAAGGTATTGTTTTTTTAATGTGAGACAGATACAGTCAGGGCCTTTGATTTATAGGAAATGCCAACAACAAGAACACCCTAATTTTCCTCCCCTCCTGACCCTTGGTGTATCTAGCCATGATGTACAGGGACCAGTTGATTGATTGTTCCTGGAGGAAGGAGAATCCAGCCTAAACCCAAACCAGCCAGGCACTTTCCTAAACTTAAAGTGATTTCAAAGAGGTGAAGCACATGTGCATTAAGGAATCCCATTTTGTAAACAAATGGTTCTTCTGAAAACGTAGTTTTCATTCTTCAAAGGTGGATAAGAGTGAGTTGTATGTTCCTGACTTCAAAGTAGTGCATAATTTTGAAAACCTTCTCCTTTTTACAAGTTTAAAGATGAAAAATCAGGCTGTTGATTGCTTAAAGAACAGAAGTT